TCATATAAATATATATGTATATATATATATATATATATGTGTGTGTGTGTGTATATTTATCTATTTATATTATAAGTGATATAATTTGATACCACAAGTAGCATTTATATCATGCTTATATTCTAAAAGAAAATTATCACTGTATATTATTAAGGTTGCCTATACCAAAGAAATGTGAAAAATTAATTACAAACTACTTTTTGTGGTTAAACCATGAATATCTTTAAATACTGATAAACTTTTCTCTGCCCTACACTCATGTTGTTCATTATATCTCTCTTGCACAGTTTGGGTACGTGTACCTCTTTGGTCCTAAAAGGATTTACATGAAGAAAATTTTATCATCATTTTTATGAGTGCCACATTACCCAAGAATGGACCCTTGGGCACACAAAAAAAAGGTCCCCAACTCTATCATATCCTTTTTCAATTATGACAGAAATCACCTGTGTGAAAAACAGTATGACGAAATCAGTCAAAACATTCTACGTGGAATCTATCTCACACATCGCACCACACACTAGACCTAGGCATTCTTGAATAGGAGACAATCTCAATTTTTCACCAAAAATGATAAAATGATTTTTATAAAATGATCCAATTACATACATTTATCAATTAATGAAATATAATTACAGTAATGTAAAAACTATAAAAATTATAATTTTTAATATGTGTGCATATTGATTTTTGCCAAATTCAGTTCAAATATAAAATGTGAGTCAAAAATGTTTTTGGTGAAGGCATATATAAAATAAAGACACTCATGTAAGAATGTTAACATAGAATATGGTTCAAATTGTTTTTTTCTGGGCTCCTTTGAACAAGGGCCTAGTGGATAATCTGGTCATATCAGACTAAAATAAAATATGTTATGTCATCATCAGTAATTCTGTATGAGTTTAATTCATTAATGCATATTATAAAGTTGAATAAATATAATGGTTTGATATTCTTTTAGGGTACATACACTGGTATGCTGAAGATGCACTAAGATTATTGCTACAACACCACTCACAACAATTTAACCAGGACATAGAAAACAACTTCATAAAAAGAATACCATAAAATTGATATTTTGTGGCCATTTTGATTTTCTTTTTATTATTTCGAAAACAGAATTCCAACAATTCAGAAATGAGTAGGGTAACAAGCAATTTTAAATTTTGTAAAAGAAAATTATGCAAAAACAGTAAACTACTGTTTCCAACATTTACACCAAAATGTCTCATGATTTTTATCCAAGCCCTTCTTCAATAAATCCTTCTAGTCCTAAAAGCATATACCAATTTTGTGAAGAAGTGATTTCATTTTTCATGTGTCTTTGAATAATACTTCGAATGTAAATCATCATGAGTATTGCCAACAGAGAATTAGATCTTTGATTGAATCCTCACTTTAATATCTTTAACTGGCACTATATTGCAGTTATTTTAGTATTTAACAATGAAAGTGCTTTCTTGCTCCTCTCTTTCTGGAAAAGCCTTTTTTTAAAGTGTTTGACATTTACTGCACTCCTTTTTTGTTCTTAAAAGGTGTTTAATTTTGTAGCAGTTAGCTGAAGAGGATCCTGATGAGGGGATCAAAGACTTGGTTGATCTCACCCTTAAGAAAATGGTATGTTTGAGTTTGTTTTGCTACTATAGAACCTCCAGTTTATTTCTCTAATCAAAGGTAATCCATTGCTGTTTGATATAGTGAGTGGATGGAGATATATGTTTGTGTCATAGCTTACATCAGCTTATTCCGTTTCATTTCAAGACAGTACAATACTACTGTGAAGCCTATGGTGAAACAGGGAATGAAATTGTATTCAGAATTGATTTAATAACTATGCTTGCTTACGAATTAAGTCAATACTCTTTCAAAATTTCAGGATTATGACCGCGATGGACGGTTATCAGCAGATGACTTCAAAAGATCTGTACAAGAAGAACCTCTTCTCCTTGAAGCATTTGGGCCATGCCTTCCTGATGATAAGGTATGTGAATTTGACATAACTAGACTGCTTAAAAACCAAAGTCTATACTCAACAGACATGGAACTTTTTGTGTACGTTTGTGATCTGAATATGTTTAGGAATTGTTAACATAGAAATGCACTCATTTTGTAATGAGGACATTACAATCTAATTTTGCTTCATGCTTTAGGAGAGAATAAGAATTAAGGTTTTTTGTAAGGAAATGCACATTATTACTACTTCATTTGAAAGTTATTTCCACTATATCCTAAAAGTATAGAAATCATTTAAGTATACAATATAAGAGATTCATAAAGTGCAAAACTATTCATTTTCACTAGAGGCTCCAATTAAGATAGTTTATTAGCATGTCTTTTTAACAAGCGACACTTTCCAAATGATTATTTAATGGGCCTTCTGTTTACAAATGAAATAAAAAAAGGAACTTGCAATTAAAAAAAAGAAGGGTTTATAAAAATATTTATTAACCTACGTAAATCATTTATATCTGTGATTTTAATGTAGTGCAATTAATTCTAATCAGGAGGAATGTAATTCTAAAAGTGTTTTCCAAATTGTTAAAGTGGGTTTTAGAAATATCTTTAGCATCACAGAAATAAGCGTTAAAAATACTCAAGTTGGTAATGAAGAATAACTTAACTCCAATACTACTGATCATTTTGTTGAAAAAGATAAGTTTGATATTCCCAATAGGTGCAACTGTATCACAACAATGATTCTGTTATCCATCAAAATCAATTTGTGTGCATTATAATAAACTACACTAGAATAAGAGAGATTAATTTTAAATATAACTGTCAAATCACTGAATAAATCACCAATGAGTTAAATTGCATCAAGCATTTATTAGATATGGGAAAAAAAGTAACCAGCTGAATTTATTTGACTCGAATTTTCAGAGAATGATTAGATTAAATTTCCTCTCACATTTCTGATACTGTTCGATTTCATGAAATATTTAATTTGTATAGTTATTGTCTAGATTTAGGGCTATCAGATATATCAGAAGTAATATTTTTTATACTGTGGCATTACTAAATAATGATCGTAATATTGTAAACAGCCAATGTTTATATGTTGAAGGGATTTATACCAAATTATCATTTGGCAGATACTGAAATGTTGTTTTAAAATGTTCAAAAACTGAAGTGTATAGGTGATAACTTTGTAGAGTAACATTTCATCATAATTTGATTTTCTTATGACAGTTGTATTGCCACTGCTAAACATTATGGAGGTTATGCTCCTTATAAATGGTACTTACATTTTGTGACATCACTTATTAAGAATCAAAATGTTTCTTAATAAGCAAATTTAAAAAAGTCTACCCTACAAAAGTTATTTTTATTATGTGATAAAGTTTCTCATTTAAACTAACTTACTTGTAATTCTAATCATGCTTCTTTGGGATAACATGCTAAAATTACACACAGTTAGTGGTTTGAACACACCTATTGGTATTTTTTTAGATTATGATATTCTATGATATACGATAACAGTCATAATGTCCTTGATAACACTTCTGTGCAGAGTTAAAAATAAGAACAAACAAATATTCCATTTATATATTTTACTGTTCTCAGAATATAGGGTACAATTGTTTCAGAAGTCAGGAAATAAGGCTCACAGTAATTATATCATTGAGATGCTACTTTTGTGTATGTTTAAATAGACTGTTGAAATTGCTTACTTGCAGGTTCGTGAAGCCTTTCTAGCTACTTTCACTCAAACAAAAATGGACACATCCGATTCATTAGGACTTTCCACACTCTAAATCTGCATGAAGGGTAGTAAACATCAGGCACTTTTGTATGTATATTATTAACATGTTTTAGAGCATATTAACTAAAAACAAAATTTGAGTAACTAATATTTGCCTAATAGTAATATCCTGTAAGAGAGAATCTGTATGTTTACCAAAATACTATTACTGTCAGTATTACAAGGTAGCTTGATTCCGATTAGTCAGGAAAAATAAGTGAAATTTAATAGAAAACTGTGTGATACCATTTCTACATAGATTTGTTTTTACCTAACTTACACAACCAGTGATGTCTAGTGCTTTTGGGATTTTAATCTGCAAAGTACGTTCTAAAAATTACTGAAAAATCCTTATTATATTGCACGTGCACTTACTGAATATATTGCAGGGGTGTTTTATATAAAATTCAGTCATAAGATATTAGTACCTGAAATGGCACTATACAGTTTAACACATCTTCTTGGACGAGCTTATAGTGACCTAAATGACCCACAATAATTTATCCAGTGTATCTAAACTGCTTGTAAGTAATATTCCATAAAAACTAGTACAGTGGAAAAACTTTGGACTTTATGCAATTATATTTTAGTTACAATTTTTTTATTTGTTTTATAGCATTTAGAACTAAATTTACACGAGAGTATGATTTTGTTGTAATTTACCCATTTAAAATTACAGAAAATTGTTTAGAAAATTGTGGAACTTCTCAAATAGTTTCCTTTAGAAATTGACAGTGAAATTAATCACACCTTGTACTGATATGGAATTTTCAAATTAAAAACTAGGAATTTTGTAATTGTTCTTATACACCTACTTGTATCATTGTAAAATGTAAATATCTTTAGGTGTTATAACGTGTTATACTGTATTTAATACAGCTAAGATAATTTAACTTTATTTCTGGCCAAATTCTGATATTTGTAGCATATTACATACACACAGAGAATTAAAGGTTTTTGGTAAAATTTAATATCTGTCCGTTTTTAAAATTAGTATCAATAATAAAATAAGTTAGTAATGAAATGTTTACAGTTTGAAAAATTTTGTCAGTAACTTTTGACTTTCGTTATATAATGACAGATGGAAGCTACAAGATTGTGGGATTTTAAGTTTATTTTTACTAATAACAGTATGACTCTGTGGTTTGTACAGTTATCTGATTAAAAATGTGTGTAGTAGTATTTTGTTCTATCAATTCTAAATGACTAAAGAAATTCTTGTCAGTTTGGAAATGAAATTTTAGATATATAAGATAAAATAAACTCTTCTCTGTTTTTTTTTTGTAACTATATATAATAGAAAAATAATCTTTTTATCATTTTTTAAAACTTTCAGTGTGACTCTAACCCATTCAACAATACTTTTAGTACACTTCACCATGCACCGTTCCATTATATTGTTGTACTTTTAAGGTATTTTCAGTTACTATCATTTAAAATAAGTTTTGTAAACCATGATGCTCATGGATCCTTGAAAAAGGTGCAAGCCAAAGCATTGGGTAGAATAAATAAATGTTTAACAGAAGTTGTTTGTTGCATTCTGATATTGAAAATGGAAAAAATTATCCCTTGAAACTTTCGTACATTTTATTAAAATATGTTAGAAAACTAAAAAAAAGAACTTTCACAAACGGAATGTTTTGTCAAAACTTTACCAACCAAAATTACATCTCATAATAGCTAGTTGTGTAGGTAACAAAACATGTTATTTGGAAATGGAGAGAAGTAATAATAATAATTGTTTAACCTTTCCTATTCTAGAAGCTTAAGCTTGTGTGGGTATAATATAATTCTTAAATTTAATAACATTTTTTGACTATTAAATGTATACACAATGTTCAACTTATTATAGCAATTGATCTAACCATTTTATTTTTCATATTTCTGTCAATTTACCTTTCTTTATATAATTGGAGGTTTTTGTTTTTTTTTGCTAGTTTAAAACAAAATTATGACACTTTTTTTTATATATAAAGCTGTTGCAGTTGAAATAACCAACATTTACATACTTCTGTTTAATTAGTTTAGGATATATCTATAGTCAGGCACATTCAGTAATTTTTCTAAATTTTTGTGCAGGTGTTCTGCATGTGGTTTTGACATTCTTGTTAGTCAGATGCCTAAAGGTTATGAATTTGTGCTAATCTTTTTACTTAGGTAAGGATTACATACAGCAACAGCTATCTCATAAAAGCTTGTATCAAGTTTGCCCTGTGTCCACTCCCTGGGTAGGGAGAAGCTCATCTCAAAGGGCTTCACAGATACTTGTACAAATTGGTATGAGCTGGGGGAGTCCTCTCCCTTGAATATGTTATTTGGAATAGTTGTGACACAAGTAACCCAAAGATTTATAAGATATCTCACTTGGACCTGTCTTCAACTTGAAAGTGCAGTATCATTCTTTCAGTCATTGATCTGTGCAAGTGTGATAATTCTTGCCATCCTTTTCTGGTGCAGATGTTTGTTTGGAAAAACCTCTCTAGTCTTATCAGTTTGAGAACAAATAATTAGAAGCAGTTAGTATGGTAAGTACACATACTTAGTGAATAAATATATTATTTGCTCACTTGTGTTTTTTCATTTTGCTTTTCCTGTGCTTGTTTATTTTCTGCATAACATTTCCAGAATCTGCTGTATATATCAACCAACTAGATCATAGGGCTAGTTTCAAAACTAATTTATAATGAACTGATAAAAAAAAACCATTAGTATGAAATGGTGAAATATAGTGGTACGATTACTTTTATTTTTTCATAAGTTAAATATATCATAACGTAATTTATATATGTAGACAGTGTTTGGAACTTAAAGTTTTGAACTAGTATGTGGATTGATATCTTTTAGTTATATTTTATACCTCTGATGTAAAAATACTTTTTTTTCCTTAACAACATATTTTTATAAAATGTATATACATTTAAACATATTCTTCAAGTTTATTATATCCTTGAATAATTAATGATTCAAAACTGGTATATTTTCTATAATGTGTGATCAGAGTGGTGTCCATAATTGTGAGAAAATCTAATATCACAAATTACACAAACTATTGCTGTTTCTTTTTTTTTAATGATTTAAAGCTTTTTAATTATTCATTTTATAAAATTGTCTAATCTGAATAGTTGAAATTTGAGCTCGTACGTCAGGTATGAAGTACTTCAATATATTTGTCCATTCTAGAAAAGTTAACTCCAATGCTGATTCACTAGAATATTTCCCATTTTCTTGCAACGCCTGTTGTGTTATGGTGAACCCTTCTGAACCTAAAAAAGTAAAAGAATAACATTATCTTCAATTGAGATTTCCTCATTAAAACATACAACTTTAGACTGTTGAAAAAAAGTTTTATATGAACAATTTCTTTGTGCTAAATGCAGTAGCACGTTGCCAGAGATGATAGCTGTAGCACCACGGGCAACGTGCTATGAAAATGGTGAAGGAAAAGTTATAAAGGAAAATGAACTGCACCAGAGTACACCCATTAGTGATAGTTTACACTATTATTGGTTGTAATACAACCAATCAGAAAGTGCCACACCAGTATAAAGCCCATAAAAGTACAGCTGTGTCCAGCCATGGCTCTCAGGACTGTGAAATACCACATGACAAGTACATGGATGAGAGTTTTACTATTTTCGAAGGAAGTCCAATATTTAGCAGCTGTATGGGAAGTTCATGAGATCTGTGTAAATTAACTGAGAAAATAATGGAGGGGAGGGTTTGACAGACTTCGTTGTACATGTGAACATGAATACAGGCAGACAAGGCTTATATTTTGCTTAGCCTAGAGCTTGGACCATTTGGACTGGTACACAGTGAAACATTCAGCCCAGCTGCATCTTTGTTTGGGTAACACTATATAAGAAATAGACTACTGTATAATGATATATGGCATTTGGTTGGTTTTGAAGATCAATTTCAATAGCTCTGGACAAATCATGCATTGCAATACAAATACCTTCTGGACATATCACATCCCAACACGACCAATTAATTTTCAATTTACCTGAAAATGTGCCAAGAGATCACTGCAGTTGTCATTAACTCAGTTATGTTGTTACTAGATCTAAAGCTTTGCATTTTAGAACTAGATCTGGTATTATTTAGACCTAGCTTCTAAATCTATATTTGCTCAGTCAAACAATATACAAAAAATATCCCTTTCCACTGTTGGCATCCATTATTGTGATTTGTATTAAATCTATCAATTAATAATCAAACATATTAAAAAAAAAAAAAAAGAACGATTCTTCTTATGACAAATTGTACAAAGTGTTCATACCTCATGATCCCTGATTGATTGTGTCTGAACACCACTCACATATTGCTTTTCTCAGAGCATTGATATTCTTAATGCAATTACTGAGTTTAATGGTTGTAAGGCTGCTTGTTAAGTTTGGTTTTATTTCTTGTTACACCTACATCCAGTGAAATTTATTTTCAATTCTGCAGTCAATTTCTTTTATTCTGAGTCCCACACATTGATAATGTTCATGCTGCCTACACAAAAGAGTACTTGTATGGGTTCACAACTGACCTACAGTGGCCAGTGTCCAAGTTTGAACAAAGGGTTTGAGGGCAAAAACTTCTATCTACCCAGTAGTAAGCAGAGAACCTCTATTACTAAAATTTAACAGGATGGGATTTTGCAGACATTTTGTACTGTTTGGAAAATTCTTTGCAGTCATCTTATTTATTTTATATACACCTATGAAAGAAAATAGTTTTGTACTATGGGTTTTAAGATTACTGCGTAAGTTATTATCATGATACAAATATTATATAAGACTGAATCCAGTTATTATGTGAACATTATTGTTAATATACCTTACAAGGAAGAGAGCCATTGAGGTTCATGTAAACCAAAAAAAAAAATTTGAAGAAGATCGAACTGCGAAATACAAACTACACCCTATGTTCAATTGAAATTTGTAAAGGAAATAATATAAGTTTTACCGACATAAAAAAAATATTGTGCTCTTTCAGATATTAATAAATAATGATTTGCATAGCATGTACATTTCCTTCTTTTTTTTTGTATTGATTTTAAAGTTTTTTATACTCTTAGATGTATGATAAAAACAGCAAGTTTTAAGTGTCAAATACATATTTTTCTAGACTGGACCTGGTTGTGAGACCATTCCTACAATTATGCCCATCCATGACTGTGTAGCAAACATGCAGGTATGAACAGTTCAATACGACATTGTATGAATGCACTTCAACTGAAGTTACAGTACAGCTATTAAAAGAAGTTTAACGATTAGCATCCTGTACATTTATTCTTTTTCTAACTTTTAGCTGTTGAAAAATACAAAAGTTAGTATAACAAGTGCATGGTATGAAGTATGCATTTATTAGGATTTTAGTAGCAATGGTATTAGTTTGCTTGATAGTATAAGCAGTAATGATGTTTAATATTTATTTGATATGTCCTTAAGTTATTTGTAATGGTGAATATTTCTGAAAATTAACGTGGTGTGATGCATGAGTTATTTAATATGTGCTTCGTAATTGATGAAGTAGTGGGATAAATAAACATTTGACAGGCCCATACCATGTCCTAAACTAACAGCTATAAGAACTACTTTACTATAATAGTAGTTGAACATTTTTCTCTAAGTCTAGGCAAGAAATTTCATTTAAAAAATAAGTTTGTGTATTTTGATTTTAATATTTGTCCATTTGAAATATTTTTACAGTTCACTTTATTTTCAGGACTTTGTTGTGGGAGTGTTTGCAGAGAATGCATTACTTTCAAGATGGCACCTGTTAAAATTGACGTGGCCAAAGTGCTGGCATGGGATTCTTGGCTTTAGGACAACTCTCAGCATATTGAACAAGTGCATCTTAGTGAATAGTTTATGGTTTATCTACTACACTGAAGAAAAACATAGTTAAACACATGAGAACTAGCAAGTTTCCCTTAAACACTGATGAAGCAACTAATGATAACATGATGAGCGTTCTGGCAGTATCATAGTATAAGGAAATCCAAAATTGTGTTGTATTAAATAATTTGATGTCTATTAATTCAACCACTGTAAACACTGATTCTTTTCCCAAGGAATTTTGTAAAATATTCCAGCAGAATATCATTCCTAAGAATAATTACATGTCTATTCTGAATGATTCTTGTAGCTTTATGTTGGGTTCTAAGAGTGAACTTGAAGAGAGACTTTGAGATGAGAAGGCAAATCACCTGCTCAACATTGATAGTGACATGTGTCATCATGGACATAATGCTCGCAAAAATTGGGTCACCCATTTGAACACTGGGCTGAATGACTATATACTAATATCCATACAGACTTCTTTTATGCTTGGAGTCAAATTTACAATGCCAGAAAAGTTAATTTAAACAGAGATGATTTTCATGATGTAAATTTACCCTTAGTATGTCAGGATCTGGGATGTTTTATCAATATTATATTTTGTTTTGTTTTTTTGTACCAGGGTGTACTGAAGGAGAGAGGTAAGAGGGGACAAATCAGCTCAGGTAGTTGCATAACACCCCTCAAAAGGAGGAAATGACTCAGGAAGGACAGGCAAGTAAAAATGGTTGTAAAACAAATCTTCTACTGCAGGAAATAAACATACTTAATCATGAAATACTGTCTCTGCTGAAACAGTACATGTGCAAGTTTGAGATGAACATTTTTTTGGTTCACAAACTGAACCATAAACAAGTTAAGCTATTTGGAGAATTCTTCTTATAGTTTCTCAAATTCTATCTAAAGAATGACAAGAAATTTGATACTGCTAATAAGTCCAACTGGCTTTCTTCAAAAAGCATCTTTATTGGTGCAACGTGTTCAGCTATTATTGTATCTTCTACAAACCCATGACTCCACTGTGAAGTACCTTAGAGAGGAATGTGAGAAGACATACCCAAATTGTGCTAAATACCTTCAAGGGAAAGAGAAACTTCCTCTAAACAAAGAAGTGTTGAGGTGTGCTTCAAAAATTGGTCTCTCATGCCACAAATACTCCAAGACACTAAAGAGACTCCGGACTCTACCCAAAGTTATGAAGAATGTTTCAGAAGCAGAGGATTAATACCAAGGAAGTGCCATCTATATCAGGTTTCTCAAAACCTGCCCTGGGTACTAACGGGGATGTGTGGTGGAGCCATATTTATCAGAAGGGCATTATTTAATACAGAACTACCTCATGAGTTTCTTTCATGACCCAGCTGTGGAAAGTAGTTTCAGCACAATGACAAATATTAAGACTGTAAGTCAGGAAATATGAACATTCTGCAATTCAGACAGCCAAATATAACCTTAGATCACAATGCAAGTCTGCTATGGAAGTTTTTCAAGAGAAAGAACATTTAATCCTCCTGTAGATTGATATATGTAAAGGTAATGTGAGTGCGAAGAGAAGGTAAAAGGAACGTCTGGAAGAAAAGAAGAGAAAACGGAAAAACTTTCAAAGAATCAGTTTAACCTTGAATCTAAAGCCCAAGCCAAGAGATGGACAAACTTAGCTGGCTTTAAGATATCAATTTTATTTATTTTATAGTTTTATTTCAGTTTAGAGGATGGGACAGCCGAGATGGACCAATAGGTTATATTAAAACAAGAAGAAAGGAAAGGCACATAAACAAAAGGTGTTGGCCAGACTCCTAAACACAGTTAAGAAAAGAAAAAAAATCAGAAGTGAATGATCAGAAACTTGTGAATGATTTTTTAATTGATTAGGCCTAAAGCACAACTGAACAGTATGCATTATCACATCAAGTTTTGACTTGCTAGTATTTTACTACTATTTTGTGCCTCTATTTGCTCAATGTTGGTTATATATTTTATAATTTTAGACTTGTTACAGAAATTGAATGATGTATGGGTTGGTGTTTAAACTGTGTAAAATGCAGTTGCCACATTGTGAAACTGATCAAGTCATTTTGTTTGCTAATATTGGCAAAATAATTAAAGTTCAACAGTGACTGTTGTTCTGTATTAATTTTTACTTAATTTTATACGTATGACACACAATATACATTTTTAACTGCAACTTGTACTTTGAAATGATTATAAACTAGTTTTTACCTGATCAGGCCTACAGAATGAGGTTATATATATATATTACCCCTTCCAAACAGACCCGAGTGGGGATTCATACTCCAGCAAGACAATGATCCCAAGCATATATCAAATGTGGTAAAATGACATCTTTGTCAGTGGAATACACAAAAATATAGCTTGGAATGATAAGAGCATTCTTGATTCTGTATGGGCTTATGTAAAAACTGGGAAGGTCAAAAGGTGACCAAGCCACTTGGATAAATTGTTGCATGTAATGCAGGACATTAGAACAATATTCCACAATGACATATTTAATAACTGTACGACAGCATGAAAGCAAGACACAATGCTCCATATAAAACAAAGAGCACCCATACAAAATACTAGTGAATTGTACAGCTTGTTCATTTTTCTTTTGTATTTTCTGTGATAATATTTTGTATGATTAATAAGTTCACTATCTAGTGGCCATTATTCTTTACTCATGATTCCTCTGTGTGTGTGTGTGTGTGTGTGTGTGTTTCTATGATTATTTCCATTACTGTATACATTTGGTTCACAACAAATTCCTGACCATTAGACAGCACGTTGATAATCATAATGGTTTTTAAAATCGGTTTTAATGTTTTCAGTTGATGTTCCCACTTTCGCCATAAACATCAATCCAAACACTCCACATTTTACTAACCTTAGCAGTAAGTGTATTTTTTTCATGTTCTTACACACAAAGTATCTGTCATACAAGATCTTAGTCTAAGTAACATTTTAACCTCATGAAATCGATTTTTATTGGGCAAAGCCAGATAAATATAATTGATTAGAGTCATTATACATTAGAATTAAACTTGTATTTTTGAACACAACTTTCTTCATTCAGCCTCATAGGGTTTTTTTTTTTTAGAAGAAAAATGTAAGATAACATTTCAACCACCTATGTTTGTTATATCTATTGTTTCACTCAGTACCAGAACTACACCATAATAATTGTTAGTCTAACAAATGGCTTATATAAAAAGTGTTCTGACCACTACTGTGTATGTTATATTCCAGTTGGCCTGAAGAGTTCTGGTATTAAATGAAACAACTCATCTTCAATGAATGCAGAAGACATGGTGTGGTTGAAATACTATTATACTCTCTTCTTCTTGGAAAGAGGAACTGAAGAAAGATTATACTGTTTAAAAATACAATAAGGCTAATACTACTGTCTTGTGATAAATAATTTTTTATAATGACTTTATCTAAAAAATGCACTTATTTTGCAGTTCATTTACACACTTTTGTTAAGTTAAGAAGCATTTTATAACATGCATTTAATTTGAGGTACGTTAATGCCATAAAACAGGATGAAATTACACTTTATAAAGTTTTTTAATTTTCATCAATTCATACTTCAGTATTGGAAAGATATTACCATGTATTTAGAACACATTCTGGTTTGCATGTAACACTAACAGTTACTGGTTGGATCTAGTGAAATAAGGATGCTATTACAAATCTACAACGTACAAGTAAGCCTAGAATTAGAAATTTAGAATATTTAAACTTGTATGTATCATGCAGTCATGTTGTAAAACGTGCTAGAGCCTTAATTAACTGTCTTAGGTATTTTTGAAATATGTCATTATATTGAAATTTAAAAGGATACATCAGAAGTTTTGTGAGTTGGCTGTTTAAATGTTAATAATAATAACCAAGGCGTGAAAATGAAATCCAAAGGTGCAGCTAGGGATGATTTATAAATTATACAGAAACAAATATGATCTACAAAATAATAATATTTTAACAATAAAAGATCTCCGACCTTATTGCCTTTCTTTTTCTTTTAAGCTTTGTCTATTTCAAATACTTAAAAAGTGACTTGGAAACGCAGTGATCTACGCAGTGCAAAAAATCAAACAGTTCTTCCACACAGGTTTCGTCAGTGCCTTCCGTGTTATTCACCCTATTGGTGCATTCGTCCATCCTCGCTTGAAGGGCAACACATTTAGCTTCCTGAGCACATTCAGCCTTAAGAGTCTCGCCAGGGTCTACGAGTTCTTCTTCCTCTTCCTCTTCTTCTACTGATTCAGCATGTACCTTAACTTTTTCAAGAGACATTTTTAGATGTACTCGAAAATTATAGTTATCTACCTTTTATAAATTATATTACCAGTATTACTTTATACCCTCAACACGTACGCCTAACTGATAGTATTAATCATAAAGTAGTCGGCCTGTACCTTTTTACGACGAGTAGAGTATTCTGAACATGCGCAAATTAAGCATCTCTTGGGGGGAGATTTATCAGCTCACCGCGATATATGTAGCTTCAACAAATTAAGAATTTTTAGAACGAAAATAAAATAATGATAAAAGAACAAACTTCATTATTTGAAGCAACATAATGAGTTATACTGAACTTTATTATTATTTTATGAATGATGTCGTTATTTGTATATCACTACTAAAGATTATTCTTTTTTCAACAAAAACGTTTCTTTTGTATTTTATTACTGTTACCCACTCTGGTTACAATAAAACAAGCTTGTTGGTTCGACTGTTCTTCTGAAGGATTGTAAAAAGTTAATTCAAGTAAATGATAAATACTTGGTGTTGACGTAAACTAAATAATATTGTGTTATTAATCCTTATCCTAATTCTGATTTGTAAGGGACGTGAATAAAATACAAATTATAACTCATTTATTCTAATCTAGTTCATGCCATAACAGTTGTTGTTCATGCAAATAATAAGTAAAATAATGCCTTTTCTAACACATCACTGCCCGGCATGGCCAGGTGGTTAGGGCGCTCGACTCGCAATCTGAGGGTCGCAAGTTCTAAATCCCGTCCCACCAAACATGCCCGCCCTTTCAGCCGTGGGGGCGTTATAATGTGACTGTCAATTCCACTATTCGTTGGTAAAAGAGTAGCCCAAGAGTTGGCGGTGGGTGGTTCTCGACAGACAAGCCAATTATTTCTTTTCCTCTAGTCTCTATTAATAGCTCCATAATTAATCCATTTTAGCTATTTTTGCATACCGTGTTGTCTTACTAACCAAGTCGTTTTATTTCAATTAAAGCTCACAGCTCGGGGTACTTCCGTTTCCTCCCATACAGCAAATTCTCGGGTACTAGATCCATTGATCCCCTTTCGTTTTATTTCACTATACTTTCTTTCAATTAAATTGATATATTATATTACTTTTTTAATTAATTAATTTTCATCATTCGTTTAATTTCTTGAATAAAGTTGGCCTCTGCTTAGAGCAAGGTATTCTACAAAAGACACGAGGACTGGACAACGGCTGGTATGGACCTTTCGGACTTTCTTTTCGTCTAGCGTTTGAATGAGATGAAATTCAAGTCAATGTTTCCTCCTACGAAGCCCTTCCATTATCTCCATAACCACAAGCGGGGAAAGAGAGATATTTCATTTCTTAGCACCCCTGGTTCATAAAACAACTATGGCCTGATATTCGGCATTGAACATGGCAGATGTATTGTGGTTGACATATTATTGCATATTCTTCTTTGTTGTCACCCATAACTTCTTACCACTGTCATTATGTATGAACTTAGTGGTAATCTTTAAGGTCTAAAATGCTAAAAATTGGGATTCGATACCTATGGTGAACACAGTTCAGATAGCCAATAAAATATTGATAATTTATTGTATAACCTTGAGTTATGCCATAATAATAATAAATTAGCCGCGACCCCAAAAACATTTGCGGTAATTTCCATGCACCTTACTTGAATTTTCCTTATTCTATCATTTTCACGAAGCTATTTAAGCTACACTTTCTTGCAGGCATTAAGTGTTAGCTCAATAAATCCTGGTCTACTTGAAAAACATTTACGTGGTGAGACAAAGAAACTCACGTAGACGTAACTTTATGTAATAAAACTACAAGTAAAGTAAACAATAAAGTAATGATATTTATAATAGTATACAGAGTATAAAACAGTTATGAGCGTTCAGTGTATGAGACCGTTTCACAGATTGAAACAAAGAAACTCACAAAATGAAAAATATAACCCTTAGTAAAGAAAAAAGTAGCTAAAAGATGTTTATAGTAGTCTATGAAACGAAACGAAGTTAAAATATTGCAAAATAAAGCAAACTTAGCTAAATATGCAGAAACGTCTGAATGCGTGTTCACGAAGTGATATGCATGCGGTTTTGAGCGAACTACGCATGTGTATTTTAGACCTAAATAAATCGAAAAAGTCCATAGAAATTTCATTTAATGTAATGTTCAATTTTAAGGAAATTACACGCGGCTTAAATGTTGTTTGTGTGGAATAATTTGCATATAAAAAACTAAAATTGAAATCGAAGCCAGTCATCACGTGATGACAACGACATTGTGCCACCGTGTACCATGTTCGTTGCATTGAAAAGTTTGACTAAGCAAAAAACCAGGTAAGGTGATTCTGAAAGGAAAAGCCAATATTCAATCCAGACTCATCAAACAAAGGTCTTTCTAACGATATAAGGTATGTAGCGTTTGATAGAGAAATTTGCGAGAAAAGTTCTGGACAGACAAACGCAAGCATGTTATATATATATATAAATAATTTGTAGTATACAAATTACATTATTATAATACATATCATTTTTTCTTATACATCTCAATATTTAACCTAACCCCCCACTGGCTCAGCTGTAAGTCTGCGCGCTCACACCACCAAAAACCAGATTTTAATACTCGTGGTGGGCAAAGCATGGTTAGTCCATTGTGTAACTTTGCACTTTACAACAACAACAAACAAAAAAAAACAATATTTACCCGGCATCTTTAACCAACAAAACACAGTCCACATGATCGTGTAGATAAATAGGGAAAAAAAAACGTCTTTTTTTTTGTTGTTGTTGTATTGTATAACCCACGTGAGCTCATTAACAGGAGTAGAATTTTCAGATGTACCAGTTCTGGATATTTTGTTTTCAGAATTTTGGTTCCTGAAAATCTTTTCCAGAGGGTTGGTTTGTTTTTGTTCTACCGTAGTGGGTATGACCTTTTTTTCTCTTTTTTTTTGCGTGGTAAGCACGAAGACTTACCACTGAGCCCATTGGGGGTAGGGGAATTTAGATAATTATTGGTTTTCTTCTTTTAATTAATGACGTTTTGAGAATTCGATAATCTGCATCTGGTTTTAGCCATTTTCACAAATAAGTAAGATGAAAAAATGGCATTTGTCTTGTTCTACTTGCTCTTTGAAATACGATACATCAAGTGGTTGATTCTATTTACCAAATGTATGTATGTCTGGATCTTTCCCGAATCGACAAAACTATGGAGATCTTACCTTCTTCCTCTTCAAGTTATATATCCACTCCATATCACCCTTCTGGAAATTGGAGTTGCCAGCATTGACATTATTCCATCTTTGAATTTTGCTGTTGGTTGAAATAAGTATCCCAGAAATATTTTCATGAATAGGTTTAATCAGTGTAAGTTTGTTTAAACGAATCTTCATTTTTTAAAGGCAACAGTGAAGAAAATTCAACGGGATCTTAACTTTCTGACAAAACAAAAAAAAAATCATGTAGCTTCATGGTGTGGTTCCCAACTTCTGGTCTGTGGACTGGTGCCAGTCTATAGGGAGATTTTAGCCGGCGCCGAAAGACGGCTGAAAAAAATGTTTTAAAATGTACCTACTGAAGTATATTGTTTTATACTCTATATTACCGCAATTCTTCTCATTCTATTCTAGTAATAAAATCTAAACATGTAGTCACAAATAATGCTAAACGTTTAAAAAATATCCCTGTGATATTAGCTATTCCCTTACTATAAATATTATGCATTTGTGACAGGCATACAAACTCTCTGGACTCGAAGTGGTCGAAGTCTAACGAAATAAATTACTTGAAATGTATATTTTTGCCTGTAATAATTTTTGCCTACCAGACTTTATTTCGTTACTAATAATTCCATTCAGCATTCAAAATAAACTCGTATCACCAACTTTTTTTTCATTACAAAAGGGCTGTCTAAGTTATAATATTACAGATTTTGTAAGTATGCTTTGTTTTCAGTGAACAAAAATAAGATAAAATAAACGCATCGAAGTCAAACAATTATCAAAAAATACTCTAGAAAGGCATAGTTATAGTGGAATATATCAATATGTTTCGTAGACGGAAGAAGTTAAAGGTTTTTTTATACATATTGGTAATCTATATACATATTTCCATGACTGTTTAGTTATAAACTGTAGACATTAAAAATGGTTATTATAAATTTGAAAGACCAACTATTTTTAAAATTAAGTGTATTGTACGTTTATTGATAATACATGTGGACATCCTTTACTAACAGATGGCAGCACAACCACCTGTACCTTTGGGGACTGCAACGTCTGTTTGAGAAGCTAGAGAGATTTCAGCGTCTATATTTTTACGTATTCTATACGAAAGGCTACAGAGATGACAGTGTCTCTAAGCGTATTCTTACAGTACGAAAAATAGCGTTTATAATAGTACATACTAAGTGCGAAGAATTACATAGATTGCAGCATGTGCAATAGTACATATACAGTACGAAAAGTTACAGAGGTTTCAGAGTCCGTAAATCACATTTAATTTTAAGTTAAGATCAGGACAAAAATGTGTAACTCCTTATATACGCGAATAATTGGCATGCAGTAAGCTGGTAACTATTAATTTTAGAATGTATTGTGTATATTATTGATGGAAAAATACTTAAGAATGACATCATTCAAGTTTGAATTGTCTGCATATTTTTTATTGATGTTGTAGTTTGTTGTGTATTTATTTATTGTACCAAATACTTTTAATCATTTTGCTACATAGAATTGGGCTCATTGATTAATTTGTAATTTACTTTTCATCTCTGATCTATATATATATTTAGTCTACTTTTGTTCAGAAGTTATTAATAATTATTAAACTAATCTGTATTAAATTCCGTGAAGCTAAAAATATGTGGCATCCCAGAAGTAGTAACTCAAATGGCTAAAGCATCTCTTAGTTTGAGTCCAGGTTCGAATTCTAATCCGATCTGAAGTTTCATTTCCTCAGAAAAACAAATACTACAAATATGGCTCAGCTTTCAACTGATTGATTTATTTAACTAGTTTCTACCTTTATTTTTTAGCTGAACCGATTTGCCCCGAGTTTCAGTCAGATCTGTTTTATCTCGAGTTATAAGCTCAACGTGTAGTTTTTAACAATTTCATTATTTCTATTCATAACAGTAATACTCAATAATAAATTGCCACTCTACCTGTTAACTC